ATATATATATATATATATATATATATATATATATATAATTTATTGCTTATGATCAATGTTTTAATATGGTTTAGCAAAGAAAACAACAATATCAAGATTACTGACATCTATATGGCCATAATCAAAATCATCATCTTCCTAAGTAAAAAATGTTTCTATATTTTTTTTCGTATTTTTTAAGATGTATTGGTGTACAAAAAATATAACTCAAATTACCTTTATCACTATAATAATAAATTATATTGTTTTATTATTTGCTTTTATTTTTACCACATGAATTTTCAACTCTAATTGTGTATCTGATTCTTAAGAGAAAAATTACTATTTATAACCTAAATTATACAATCTAAAAGTTACAAATAATTTAACTAAACTAATCAATCAATCCTAAGTGTAACAAATGAATAGACAAACCATCTATTCATAACAATTCTTAACCCATTTATTCATAACAATTCTTAATTATATAACGGGTATGAGTTTGAAGATTTCTAATTCATAATGAATTTTATTAACAAATATATTTGAAGGCATATTTTTCCTGCCATTCTTAAATTAATTCACCTTAAAACTTTTGCTTAATAGGATTAAATGCGAGAAATCCAAAAAGGAAAAAAAGAGAAATAATTAAAATAGAAAGTAAAATTGTTGAAACTGACAAAATGAAATAAAAACAAATAAAAAATTATTTAAATTTATCTGTTATTAATAAATTTATTATTATTACTATTATTAAAATAGAAGAAATTATAATAGCATAATCAATGCTTTCTTTTATACAAATTTTTACTTATCAACTTGAAAAAGTCGTCCATCTCCCTATTTCTCCAATTTTCTTCACAAATCAACCAATTCAAGCTACCAAAATCATGTCTTATCTTCTTATTTTCATCTCTATATTCGCATAGAAGCAGATAAAAATTACACGAATAGACTACTAACTTTTTTTTAAACAAGTATAAAAGACAAACCCTTTTTGAATTTATCCTTTGACTATCTCTAACTTACTCCTTTATATGCAATTCATAAAACATATTTAGATAAAACTTTTTTTTGCAATATAAAAATTCACTACAAAATATAATTTTTTATAATGTTTTTAAAACTTCGTAGAAACTATCTTTTTAGCATTATGGCCATTTTGTTAATATTTCGTAAAAATAGTTTAAAAATGTTGGTAATTAGTTTTTTTTTTATTTTCTTATATATATTATTTAATTTTCTAATGTAAAAACTTTTTAACATAATCTTTAGATTATTACTTTTAATTTATAAAAAGTCCATTTTATTATTCTTTTTACTATTTTTTCACGAATATTTACAAACAAGTTTGTACAACCTACTAATTAATTTCATGGGTATCTAAAATAAAAGCCATAGCTGAAAATACTTATCATTGAATAAATAAATTTAAAACACGCTGCATTTGGTGAACTCTTACACAGAGAGTGACCAATAGAATCAAATGCCGTGAAGAGGACATTTTTTATATCCTTTTCTGATGATCATCGTGTGGTAACTCCAACACAAACAGAAGGAAAGAATGATTCCAATGACTCCATCGTGATGGAAATAATATTCACATCTTCTTTCACTTTCTAAAACACCAAAGCAATCTCTTCTCAAAGCATACAAATTCTTTTCCTTTCCCTCCTTAACCAAATATTCCTTCTCCAACTCAAGCACAATTACACCTTCATAGCTAACTGAACCTCAAAGTTATTTTACATGCCATACACAAAGTAGCCATGTATATAAACTTAGACACATCTCATTTGACCACCAATTAACACCCATCTCAATTTCAAAACCTTGACTCATTTTCTCTTTTGCTTTGTTTAAATGGCTTCTGCACCAGCCTTAAAACGCACAGATTCTGTCATAGATAATATGCCTGATGCATTGAGGCAGAGTCGGTACCACATGAAGAGGTGTTTTGCCAAGTACCTCGAAAAGGGTAGGAGGATTATGAAACATCACCATTTGATGGAAGAAATGGAACTAGTAATAGATGACAAAAGTGAAAGAAATCAAGTTTTGGAGGGTATTCTTGGCTTCATATTGAGCTCTACGCAGGTTATTTCTTTTCACTCTTTACCTTTATATACATTACAGAACAAAATTATTAGTAGTCACATCACTACTAACACTAAATTGTTAATTAAGATTCCATTCATTAAATAAATTGTAGAACTTATAACCCATATCTGTGTATTGTTTATTATGATAGATATATAGTCTATTTGTATATAAGTTAGAATTGCTTGTAACATATATAATTCTCATACTGTAATGAGAGCTATTACATTATATAAGTCACACACACATATAGAGCTTGTGGTTGTGGATTTTAACGTTGTTTACCTGAAACTTGCAGGAAGCTGTTGCTGATCCACCGTATGTTGCCTTTGCAATAAGGCCTAATCCAGGAGTTTGGGAATTTGTAAAAGTGAGCTCTGAGGACCTTTCTGTTGAGGCTATCACCCCCACTGACTTCCTCAAATTCAAGGAAAGGGTAACTGATGAAAAATGGTGCGTCATTTTTCTCATATTTATACCTCACTTGGATTTTTCTTATCAACAACTTTCAACACTACTTGCGTTTATCTTCTGAAATGAAATGAAAATCAGTACAAGACTTGTATACTTGAAGTGGCATCATTTTTATCACGTTTCTTAATTTTGCTAATTTCTTAGTTTACATGTTCATCCAATAAAAACTAAATAAGTCCAGTTCGAATAATATTTTATGAAATTTGCTTTTGATGTTTAACTTTGGTCTATATTGAAGGGCAACCGATGAGAATTCATTTGAAGCAGACTTTGGAGCATTCGATTTCCAAATTCCTCAACTAACCCTCTCATCTTCAATTGGAAATGGACTCCAATTTACTTCTAAGTTTTTGACTTCCAAGATAACTGGGAAATTGGAGAAAACACAGGCTATAGTGGACTACTTGTTAACACTAAATCATCAGGGAGAAGTAAGTGAAACAACGCGAGATAAAATTCGCAAATATTACACTACAACATCAAAGTTATACCTTTCAATATTCATTTTCCATTTTGTCATTTCAGAAGTTGATGATAAATGAGAGCCTGAACTCTGCTGCAAAGCTACAGATGGCACTGGTAGTGGCTGATGCATTCCTCTCAGAACTTCCCAAAGACACTGCATATCAGAATTTTGAGCTAAGGTAAAGAGTTTATTATTTTTTAATGGAAGAGGCCAAGGATGTTGCAAGGTGTAGTCCAATGACACTACCAATTTCGTTGACAGGTTCAAGGAGTGGGGGTTCGAGAGAGGATGGGGAGATACTGCAGAAAGAGTGAAGGAGACAATGAGAACTCTATCAGAAGTACTTCAAGCACCTGACCCACTCAACTTGGAGAAATTTTTAAGTAGATTACCAATAATATTCAATGTAGCCATCTTCTCAGTTCATGGTTATTTTGGACAAGCAGATGTTCTTGGCTTGCCGGACACAGGTGGCCAGGTAAAATTCTTAACAAAAGCAGCAACTAGTTTGACTATAATCATAGGTTGATAGAGTTATTCGCCTTGTGGCAAGGTCAACAGAGTTTTATACAGAGAAATGTTAAGAATGCTCTCTTTGGACACAACCTCTACTGCTGATTGAAATTTACAAGTTTTTTGTGGGTTACTTCTTATTTAATGAGTCTTATTCAGAATCTTGTAGCTTTCAATAAGTTTTTAATCAATACAAGAAAGTGTATAAGAAGAAGTGCGTGACTAATACACTCTGCTTCTATGATATCATGTCAAGTGCTATTTATGTTAAGAGATTGCTTAAAAGTAAAATGCATTTTCATTTCTAATACTCATTGAGAGAAGTACAACAGATAGTTTACATATTGGACCAAGTCAAGTCTCTGGAAGCAGAATTGCTTCTGAGAATCAAGCAACAAGGGCTAAATGTGAAACCTCAAATTCTTGTGGTGAGTTTCACGCAAAGGAATGGATAATTATATCTCGGTATACGCACTTGAAGTTACTAGAATCTTAAGAGTACACTATTGATCTTGACAGATAACAAGGCTCATACCTGATGCTCGGGGAACCAAGTGTCACCAGGAGTTGGAACCAATAAATGATACTAAACACTCCCACATTTTACGTGTGCCTTTTCAGACAGATAAAGGAATACTTCATCAGTGGGTTTCTCGCTTTGATATTTACCCCTATCTTGAGAGGTTTACTCAGGCATGTACATCTGATTCAAGATTCTTTACCTGTTATCTATTGCCACTCATGATTTTTTCCTTCTTACCATACTTTGGCTCATTTAAATAGGATGCAACAACCAAGATTCTTGAGTTCATGGAAGGGAAACCAGATCTTGTTATTGGAAATTACACAGATGGAAATTTGGTAGCATCACTAATGGCTAGAAAACTTGGGATAACTCAGGTTAATACAGCATAAGTTTTGCTTTGAACAGTTTTTTGTGGTTGCAAGTACATTTATTTTCTTTTTCTACATGTACTAATTCCATTTGGCAACTGAAAACCAGGGAATTATAGCACATGCTTTAGAGAAGACCAAGTATGAAGACTCAGATGTCAAGTGGAAAGAGTTGGATCCCAAATATCACTTCTCATGTCAATTCATGGCTGATACAGTGGCAATGAATGCAACTGATTTCATCATAACCAGTACATACCAGGAAATTGCTGGAAGGTTAGCTCAAATAGCCTTAAACACACATAAATGAGCACAAAACAGGAAAAAAAAATGAAATCTAAATTTGAAAGTTGATATTTGCAGCAAAGATAGACCTGGACAATATGAAAGCCATGCCGCATTCACACTCCCAGGGCTGTGTAGAGTTGTTTCAGGGATAAACGTGTTTGATCCTAAGTTCAATATAGCCGCGCCAGGAGCAGACCAATCTGTCTATTTCCCTTACACAGAGAAAGAAAGGCTCACTCAATTTCAGCCAGCCATTGAGGATCTTCTTTTTAGTAAAGTGGATAACAATGAGCATATGTAAGTGACTTCCTCTCTTGTAAGTAACATTGAGTTATAAATTACCACATTCTTCCAAATGAATGACTTCACTTCTGAAATTGTTATGGAAGCAGTGGATACCTGGCAGATAGGAGGAAGCCAATTATCTTCTCAATGGCTAGGCTTGATGTTGTAAAGAACTTAAGCGGTTTAGTTGAATGGTTTGGCAAGAACAAGAGATTGAGAAATTTGGTGAACCTTGTCATAGTAGGGGGCTTCTTTGACCCTTCAAAATCAAAAGACAGGGAGGAAATGGAAGAAATAAAAAAGATGCATGACTTAATTGATAAGTACCAACTGAAGGGTCAGTTTAGATGGATTGCTGCACAGACTAATAGGTACCGCAACGGAGAGCTCTACCGTTGCATTGCTGACACAAGAGGAGCATTTGTGCAGCCTGCTTTGTATGAAGCATTTGGATTAACTGTCATTGAAGCAATGAACTGTGGATTGCCCACTTTTGCTACCAACCAAGGAGGTCCAGCAGAAATTATTGTTGATGGGGTCTCTGGCTTCCACATTGATCCCCTCAATGGCGATGAATCAAGCAAAAAAATTTCTGATTTCTTTGAAAAATGCAAAATGGACCCCTCACAATGGAATGTGATTTCTGCAGCCGGATTGCAGCGCATAAATGAATGGTATCCAACTGATCATATCATATATTTCCTTAGCTTCTTGCATCAATGAGAAAATTTTCAAACTGTTTAAATGTCTGTCTTATTATAGCTATACCTGGAAAATTTACGCAAACAAGATGGTAAACATGGGGAACATTTACACCTTTTGGAGACAAGTGAATAAGGAGCAAAAAGAGGCAAAGCAGAGATACATTCAGATGTTCTATAATCTTATATTCAAGAATTTGGTAAGCCAATAATTGGTCTTCTGGACACAAAAATTCACCAATTATTGTGTTTTAAATTTCTGAAAAAGGTAAACACTTTTGATGTGCAAATGTCACAGGTTAAGACTGTACCTGTTCCAAGTGATGAACCTCAACAAGCAGTGACCAAACAGCCGAGTCTTAAATCTCAGAGCACAAGGTCTGTTACTCAACCAATCAATCAGTTTTCATCTTTGTGAGGAGAAAAAAGTGACTGCATTAATTGAAAAATTGAATATCTCAAATTGCAACATCATGATTACCTTTAAACAAAAGGGTTTTTTTCCATTTGATTCAAGCTAACATGTTTTCTCTTTTTCCTTGTTGGTTTGCTGCATCAGACGTTCACAGTCCAGACTGCAAAGGTGAGGTTCATTGGATAGCACTGAATTAGGTCATGATTATTAGTTGGGTTGTGTATGCTCAATATTACTTGGTTTCTTTCAGGTTATTCGGAAATTAATATCTCAACCACAAAGCACATGTTATGACTCTGGATGTAATGGATCTTTTCTCTTATGTGTACACCTTATATTTTATTTTTTATTTTTTTGCTATTCATCAAAAGAAGAAGTTCTGCTATTGTTGAACTACTACAATTATTTTATGTGATCAATAAAATGGCTTATGCGAGGAAATTCAAAACGAAGATGGAGCAATGTTTAATTTCACGTGAGCTGAAACTTTAATTTCAGAACTGTAATGAGATTTTACATGCTAACATCCCAAAACGAAACCACTGAAGACAAAAATATTAGGATAAATATGTCATTTTAGTAATAGCATAGAAAATAGATGTGTCTAGCAAAAGAGGGAGTGCAAATAAAAAGAGGTTAACTAAAAATATTGTAAAATAATAAGATTTAACATGGGCTTAAACATCTGATCCTCCTCTTCCAGCCCAATTGCACTGCAGGTCCAGCCAAACTACAGCAAGTTTGTTAAATTTTTATCTATTAGAACACTCCATTAATTAATTATTAAAATTTTAGCCAATATACCTAAATTTTATCCTTATTGTTCTTCTGTAATTCAACTTGATAATTTTCTTACGAATAATGGATTAGTTAATTGTTTTAAAAGGACTTGTTTACACTTTTCTACAAGATGCGTGTCATGGTATAATTTGTTTTTAACAATAAGGAGAAGAAAAAAACAGAAAAAATTACTAAAGTTTGAAACCACCAGATCAAATATGTAATAACTTTTTTTTAAAGAAGTTAAAATTACACGGTGAGTAAATAAAAAAGTAGATTCAAACCTAATTATTATTACTAGGGCTGTTCACTTTTACCTTGTTAAAAAAAATTATAATAATTATTAAAATAAATATATTATTAAACTATATTTTATAAAAGAAGTTATAAAAAATATTTTATAATTTTATGATAAATAGTTTTTATTATATAAGTAGTTTTCTAGTATTTGAATTATTACAAGAATAAATTAAAAAAAATAGTGTAGATCTAAGATTTTTGTAATCTCACTTAATAGTGTAAAATTACTAAACAAAACATATGAAAGTCATAAAGAATAGAAGACTAACTTATAATTATTATATTCAGTCATCCATACAAGTATGTATTGCATATAGACAATCATGTAACTAAATTAACAAAAATTGAGTTTTTCAAAAAGAAAAATATTATACATAATAAAATCACCCTAAAACTACATCATCGTACTACTTTTGTCCTACATTTGATCAATTATTACATCATCATATGCTCACACCATTAAGTGATAACTATAAACAAAAAGAACACAGACAAAACAACACAAAATAAAGAGTAACCTAATGTGTGAAAAGAGTAATAATAAAACAAGTATAAAGATATTATCATATATAAATAATTCATAACAACAACCATATCATATACAAAGACTCAAATTAGACTCAACGATATGAATACATGTATTGATATCAGGCTCTGACGAGTTATTTATCGTGTATGTATAGATATGGTTACTTGTGGTGGTCTCTACTTCTTTACATAACCATTGTCTCATTCTATCACACACAAGGGTAGTCCGTTAACATCTTCAGGCAGTGTTAAACATGAAAATAATTCATCTTATGCTTCTTCCAACACACCAACATACCTAATTCAATCAATTTAACACAATATCAAATAAATATACCAATTTCACATATTAATCAACCTTTTTGCATATCACCATTAAATTCTACACCTATCACATATAACATATCTTAAAAACATTTCATACACCATGCCAATTTCACCAATGAGATTTAACATTATGATTATGTAATAAATGATGATAAAATGCTAGTTGTTTATAAATATCAATAAACTCAACAACATATTCATATTTTGTCTATAAAATAAGAAAAAAATACAATATATATGAAATAAATTAAAGCAAATTATGAGATGAAATTCATCTAAAGAAAAAACATGGGCTAATGAAATATAAGAAAAATATAAAATACATGAATATTTTTCAAAGGAGATTTATCAACGAGTTGTAATTGTCTTTCCAACTCCAAATCTTCTTCTTGGAATAAATGTTAAACGCCATGAACTCTATCACTACCATGACTTTTCACTAAACAAAGAACAAAGAACAATACATATGAATAATTTTTTTATCAAATATAACGAGCGATGTTAGACCAACCAGTGGAATTATCTAGTTATTTACAATGTAAAGTCTAGAAACATCTGTCATAATAAGTCACTTATTAAGACATGTATATGAATATGTCATATTAATTTGACTTACTATAACAGGTATAGTAAGTCAACTTAGTACACATGGGCTTCTTAACTAAAATATAAAATATAAACTGTCTTGTAAAACCATCATAAAAAGTCTTTATTTGACTAAAGTTGGACAAACTCATATTGATTCAACTTGATCTAGGCTCAGATCGACTTGATTGGACTCTACCTGATGCTATTTTACTCAAGTGTAGCTTGATCTAATACTTCATATCTTAGAAATGATCTCTTTTAACTCAAATTGAGCAAAAATTTGTAAATATAAAATATTTTTTTAAGAACTTTGAAAAAAAAAACATAAAGTTATTCTTTACATTTAAATGTTACAGAAATTGTGAAATTTCTTGTCCATACATAAAGTTTTGTTTATACAAAATTTAACTCTATTATTATAAGTAGTGGACGATAGTAAGATAATAAGTACATCCACCAATCGAATTTTAAAACAAAAAATTTTGTAATCCTTTGATGAAACTTTGAAAATGGTTAATTTTTAAACTTTATGAAACTTTTGAAGTAGTTTATTTAGGTTTCGGATAGTCTTAAAATGACTGTGTGCAAATTCAAATTTTGCATACTAAGGGAATTTCATCCTAAGTGAAATTTATATAATTAGAAAAAAAAATTAAATAGGAAATAGAATAAAATGAATGATTCTTTCCATATCTTTAGCCATGAAAAAAAAAAGAAAAAAAAAAGGAAAATAGATAAAGATGTAGAAATAAACCATTCATATTCACTTATTGTTCATTAAAGCCCTATAAAATTAATTTTAGTTAGAAATTAATGATACGCTAATTTTATTCTCACTGTTCAAGGTTCCAAAATCCACTGGGAGAGTTTGTTTCATCTTCTTCTTTCCCTCTTGCCTTTTAAGTTTCCATTTATCACTTTTAAAAAAGTTCCTCAGGTGTGATGATAGTAAAATAAAAAATACATCCACCCAATTGGATTTAAAAAAAACAAAAGTAAATATAATTTTGTTTTGTAATCTCTTTGATGAAACTTTTGTAATGGTTAATTTTTAAACTTTATAAAAATTTTGAAGTAGTTCGATTAGGTTTGAAATAGTCTCAAAATGATTCTTCATAAGTTCAAATATGAGATTATTTTGGGACAAATTTGCTTAAATTTACCACAGAATTAACGTTGATACATATAAAAACAAAATTGGTATATAATTTATAGAAACAGAAAAAAAATTATATTTAAAAATGGAAAAAAATAAAATGAATGTTTTTTTTCATATCTTTAGCTACACCAAAAAAGAAGAAAAAAAATATATCAAATGCAGAACTAAACTATTGAAATACTCGGTTACTCATCAAAGCTCCATAAATTTATTTTAATTAGAAATTTAATGATAAACTAATTGTATTATAATCTATTGGCAAGAGCTTATCTCTTTTGTTCTTTCCCTCTAACCTTTTAAGTTTCCTTTTATCACTTCTACAAATATTCTTACTTTGAAAAAAAAAATTGATTTCTAAGATTTTAAACCGAATGAAATGACAACTAATTACAAAATTTTTTTGCAAAAAAGTCATTTACAAAAAATACTTGTAATTTTTGTCATAAAATATTTTCCGTAAATAAAGGGAAACCCATTTTCCTATGCTAGACACACCAAAATCTAATAGAGGCTTAATTAAAACTAGCTAACCCTAAACAGTTTTTAAGGAGATTTACTTTGTTATACAACATTAAAATTTCAACTAATGAGGTTGCCGTTACACAATTAATAGTTCTTATCAACTGTACACATTTTTGGGTCGGCATTGCTTATTTACTTAATTGTTGGGAATTAAGTAAATAAGCAATAATTGTCTTCCATTTCTTAATATCAAAAGATTTTTATCTCTCATGCAGTTAAAAAAAAAATGTTCTATTCATCTCCAAAATTGTGAGAAGTTTGAATTTCTAACTTCTGAACTGATGCTTAGTTATTCATCAGTGTACCTAACTTTAAGGCTGTGTTCGCATGAACCGAATTTACTGTTCATGCGAATTACAGAGCGAAGAATTGAAGGTTACGTCGTGTTCGTATGAGAGGATTGGCGAGGAAAAGCACGGACGGATTTGCGGGATTCATCCAGTTTTCATCAACCGCGGATGTGAGAAGATTTGCACTGATTTTAAGTGAAATGTCGAGTGTGCCCCGAGCTTTATATTAAATTCCACGTACGTAAATGGTATCAAGATAGCACAGTGCACCGAATAACCGATTACACGAAGGGTAACCGATTACATGGTGAAGGGTACATATCAATAACCGATTCCAAAGCTCAAAAAAAAGTTAAAACATGCACTGTGGTTTCACGAGAAAGAAGCAATGCACAGAGTAAAGTGGATGTAGCTTGGTGAAAGAACAAGCTTGGTGAAAGAAGAACAGGGTCAGCAGCACGCGTACTCGGTTACAAGATAGCGTAACCGGTTACGGTTGGCGTAACCGATTACAGCAGCCATAACCGGTTACAAGGTGATTCAGGTTTTTAGAAGAAACCCGTATTCGGTTACAGAGGCTTGTAACCGGTTACAGTTTTCCAGAACGTGTTACAGACCGGCTCCGGTTGCAGGCGTGGTGTGCATGAGTTGGTCCCTTTTGGCAGGTTGTGGTGTGTGAGTTGGTTACACATTCATTCGTGCATGGCTTCCTCCGTCGTTGGTTAGGTCCAGGGTGTTAAGGTTGATGCATGGAGGTGGTGGCACCGTTGGGGTTGTAGAGAAGACAGCACATGATGGAGGGTGATGGAGGGTGGTTTGGTAGCACTACCCTTGGAGGTAGAGACTGAGTTACGGATGACATGAAGAAGGGGATGCGTGAGGGGAGGGACATGTGTTCCATGGAGAAGAAGATGTTGATGGGGATGGAGTTGGAGAGGAGGAGGAGTACGGTGGTGTG